TGTATATGTGTGTGTGTGTGGGTGTGTATGTAAGCACACACATATACATACTCATCCATCCACAATGACAACCATTCACTTTACACCCTCAGGGACGTTAATCCAATTCAGTATCTCATATCTTTCCCGCCCGCCCGCTGGGACCCTCTGATAGCTATACAATAACCCTTCCACACCCAATTTGACGCTAAAATGGGATATTAACGTGCTTTTCTTAAGGGGAAATTTTCCTATAGTGGTCAGAATTTTTTGAAGGAAGCTATTATGGAAATTACTGTTTTTTTTTTTCTATCTTTTTTTTTTATATATATCTTCGATGTTGTAGATTATGATTAATTATTTGAATTGTAGTTATTCAATAGGATGATACTTATATCTATGAGATTAATTTCTTCTTGATATATTAATGCAAAGAAACGAAGATTGATACTTATGGTGGTGATGGTAATAGTAAGGATAATGATAATACAGTTTCTGATCATGGTAATAATAATGATGCATGTATGATTTATTATACATACACACATACATACACACATACATACATACATATACATACATACATACATACATACATACATACATACATACATATACATACATACATAAATACATACATACATACATACATACATACGTACATACATACATATATATAGATAGATAAAATACCTACATACATACATTACATACATGCACACACACACACACAACACACATACATACACATACACATACACATACACATACACATACACAACACCACACACACACACACACACAACACACACACACACACACACACCACACACACATATATATATATATATATATATAATATATATATATATATACACACATACATACACATATATATATATAAATATATGCATACTTTATGGCATCTACAATGATAATAAATATATGCTAATAATGACAAGGATAATAATATTAATGATAATGACATCAACAACGATATGATAACATTCAATACGATTGATAATGGTAATGGTAGTAGTAGTAATAGTAAAAGTGATGATGATAACAATAATAATGATGATAATAACATTAATAATCATAATAATGATAATAACATTAATAATAATAATAATAATAATATAAAATAATGATAATAGTAATGATAATGATATAAATGATAGTAATGGTGAAGCAATGATAATGATACAGACAATACTAATAATAATGATATTGACACTGACACTGTCTCTTCCTGTCTCTTCCTTCTTCTCCCTATCTCCCTTTCCCCTTCTTTGTATATTTCCCCCGACTCTCTGTTTCTCTCTCAGTGTGCTTCCGTCTCTCCCCTCCTTTCTTTCTACCATAAAATGTCAACAATACTTTGATCTTTAAACGACATTTCACTTTTACATCATGAAAATTCCCTGAAAAGATAGAAAATGACCATAAATATATGTATTTTTTCAAACTTTGCCCAATTCCCAATCTCAATGAATTTAGAAATTGTTATCAATGTTATAATTAGACGTGATATATGATTTCTGATAGCAATTCTGGCAATGTTGCAGGTATGGTTTTTGCAAAGAGATCAGCCGGAAATACAAGGTAAGAATCGTCACTGTATTGCACAATGTTCATTTAGCTTGAAACATAAATGATCTGCTTTATTATCCATCTTAAAACCATTAACTTCTATAATGTCGATGTGAAAAGACGCTTTCTGTTAATATTATCTGTAATGAAAACACATTTATCAATACAAGCAAAAAAAAAAAAAAAGAAAGAAAGAAAAAAAAAAACGAAAGAAAACCACCCCCATAACCCTTAAACACCCAAACACCTTCCTTCCACACCCTGTTCACAGGCCCTCTCCCTTCCTCTCCCCCCACAGGCTCCTCACGGCCCGAGGATCTTGCGTCTCCTGGAGGAGGTGTACCGCTGGCTTCCTCTCGCCACCATCATCGACAACAAGGTCCTGGTCGTCCACGGTGGCATCTCCCTCGACACCGACCTCAAGTGGATGGCGACGGCGGATAGGAGCAAGGTGAGAGGGATGGGGATAGGAGGAGAGGAGGGAGAGGACTAGGAGGGAGGAAGAGAGAACGAGGAAGGGAGGGAGGGGGAGGGGGAGGGAGGGAGGAGGGAGGAAAGGGAGGAAGGGGAGGGGAAGGGGGAGGGGGAGGGAGAGGAAAAGGGAGAGGGAGGAAGGGAGAGGAAAGGGAGAGAGGGAGGAAGGGGAGAAGGGAGAGGGGAGGAGGAGAGAGAGGAGAGAGAGAGAGAGAGAGGAGGGAGGAGAGGAGGGAGGAGAGAGAGGAGAGAAGAGAGAGAGAGGAGAGAGAGAGAGAGAGAGAGAGAGAGAGAGGAGAGAGAGAGAGAGAGAGAGAGAGAGAAAGGAAAACGTTGGTTTTATTCCCTGTATGTGGGCTCATATCTTTATACACCTTATACAAACACACTATACAACAGAACGCTCTAGCTAAAATGCCTCCCCATCAAATCATAAATCACAACCCCCATTTTAATCGAATCCCACCGGAATGACACCCCTATCTGACCGACCACGACCCGACTGACCTTCCCATGACCTTTGCAGTACAGGAGCGTCTTGAGAACTCCTGCGGCGAGGCTGGAGGAGGGCGAAGACGAAGGCGAAGACGGTGACGAAGGATCCGAAGCCTGTAAGGAGGTCAGGCTCTTCACGGCGACGTACGAGTGGAAGCAGGTGAGGGCTGGAGGAGCAGCGGGTCGGGTCGTTGTTATTGATTATTGTTGTTATCATTATTAGGGTTATCATCATTTATTTTTATCATTGTTATTGTCACAATTTTCATTATTAGTCGTATCATCATTATTATTATCATTAGTCATTATTATCATTATCATTATTATCATCATTATTGTTATTTCTAATATCATCTCATTATAACTATTCACTTATTATTATCAGTATTATCGTTATTACCATTATCATTATATTCATTATCATTATTATCATTATCATCATTATCATCAATTATCAT